CCACATTTGTAACACAAATCCTGTTTTTTACTGGGACAGTCTGGAGCCCAATGTCCCAACTCATTACAAATGTAACATGGATCTGTTTCTTTTGTCTTTTTTCCTGTGCTGCTGCTGCTGCTGCTCCTGCTGCTACTACTGCTACTCTGTTTTTTCTGATAAAATCCACCATTCATTTTCTCCTGGATGTTAGTCACTTTAACTTCTAATCGGGATAATTTACCCCTTATCAAGCAAAATTCACTGGTGTTATACTCTTTTAAATCCGTCAGCATTTTAATAATTCCATCCATAGTGGTGGTTAAGATGCTCATATCTTCTTTGGTCATGGGTTCTGGCATATTATAAAGTCCTAAATCCAATCCGATGGGATCTTGTGTATCAGGTGCCGTGGGTAAGGCATATCCTAGTCCTGTACTCTGAGGTGGAATATAATTCTGACCTGTAAGATTATTAAGATTCATCATTGCTTCTGCCATGTCTATTCTTTCTACATGTGTCAAAACTAATGCTATAACTGACTGAACTCTGAGTTTATATACCTTATTAAAAACTATTTTTAGCTTTTTGTTACTATAATTATAATAGCACGAGATCCGATTCTTAAAACACCTGCACAGGTGAAATTTTGGCACCGATTCAAGTTTGAAAAACTATTTTTACCTTTTTGTTACTATAATTATATATATTAAGCACGAGATCTGATTCTTAAAACACCTGCAGAGAGGGGTCATGTACCTAATCTTGGCACCGATTCAAGAGTCTTAAAACACACCTGTGTATTATAGTACCGTGTGCAAAAGAAAACTTAAGTCCTATTTTTACCTTGATTGGTTTTATTTCTATAAATAGAAAACCAAAAGGTATAAATAAGGTCATAAAAACATTTCTTTTTAAAAATCATTGATATCATGTTGAGACACTATCACACTTTAGTGTTGAAAAGTTATGATACTTTAATGCAATGTCTAGAACAACAGGAACAACCATTACCCCCCGAAGCGGAACAAGTGTTTCAGAAAGCAGACAACATCATAGAAACCACTCAGGACTTGTGGTTACAATGCCTGGCTTTATCCCATCCTACCACAGTGGGGAGATTAGCGATTATTCATTTCCTATGTCAACGAATGAAAAAGACTTTACCCGAAAAAATGTACGGGATGAACATGATGCAATATTTACAAAAACCCTACAGTTTTCTATGTCATCCCCAAGGGAGCAAAGTGATTCTACTTTGGAAAGAAATAGAAACGATGGAGAAAATCTGTATTCAATACGGAATGAAATCTCTGGAAATATCAGACCTACTAAAAAATGTGTGACGTTTAATACAGACTTGAATGAAATTCATGATTTACCCCCCGAAGATCGGAAAAGTGAATGGATGACTGTAGTAGCGGATCGATTAAGATTTCAGAGGAGAATTCAACACTTGAAACAATTGTTAAAACTAAAAAAATAAAAAAAGAATGAAAAAACAATCAGTTCTTTTTTTTGTTATTATTTCTATACAAATAGGACGCCATCTTGTGTCCTTTTTTAGACGCTGAGATGTTTTTTTGTTTTGGTCATTTTATAAAAATCTAGACATTTCCATTGGAAATAAAGTAGATACAAATGATTTTTATAAGTTTCCGATTGTATTCATCTCAAAATTTTCATCATCAAAGATCAGGATTGAAAAGAATCGTATAAGCTCTATACAAGTCTAGACAGTGATTTTCTGAAAATGGCTGACCTTTGACCTCCCTTGTGTTTATGTTTAGACCGACGCTACGTTTATTTCTACACTTGTAAGGATTCTTTTGATTTAAAAACCCTCTCAACACTTTTCCTTAGGTTCGATCTTATGATAGACATTAAGTTTTCTTGGTGTCACACTTTTAAAAGTTTAAAACTCTTTATTTTAGGTATTCAGGTCACTCAAGGTTAGGCCTTCGCTTCGGCATGAATGAGCCTGTTCTAAACAACGGAGGAATGTCATGTATGAATGATACTGTGAAATCATTCTCAAATCTTACCTTCCTTCTTTTACTAGAAGGTTTGAAACTATATATCATTCCATAATATGTTATTTAATCCAATAGAGATATTCACAAACACAAAATAACACAATTTTGAATTCTCCATGATTTTTTGAGCTCTGTTTCATCCGGGGTTTTGGGTGCTTTCTTTTCGGGTCGCGCTCTGTGTATAAATACCAACGCTCGTCAGCTGTTAACTGTCATTCGTTATTAGCTGATTTCCAGCTACCTTCACCATGACTGAAGAAAGTTTCCATGAGGAGGTCTTTCTAATTCCAGGGATAGAATTGGTTTGTTATTTTGCTGTTAGGAGGATATCAGACGGCCAAGAGTTATTGCGCTGCCCTATGATGCGAGTGGAACAAAGCAATAATAGGAATGCTCGAAGAATATCTGCCAGACCCTACCAGATACCTGGCCGCCAGCGTAGGAGGAGAAGATCACCCTCACCAGCAAGGCCACCCTCACCACCACCAAGGGCACCCTCACCACCACCACCACCACCACCACCAAGGCCACCCTCACCACCGCCAGGAAGGCCTGTGATTCCACCCATATACCATCCGAGGCCCCAGGAGGAAGGGAGGAATTTTTCAATACCTGATTCCCCCGATTCACCATCACCATCCCCTGGGATTCCCTCAACGGTGGATGAGGCCCAGTATCAGCAGAGCCAGGCCAGATTTCAAGGCTGTATCCCTAGCTGGGGATTACAGGTACCCATTTCATCAATTTTTTGCTCGCTGTGTCTCTGTGAGGATGAGGATAGCAACTATATTTGCGATCAATGCAGACAACGACCTGCGTGTTACCTTTGCTCTGCCAGGATCATTGATCGGTGCCTCCCATGCCCTTTGTGCCGTTACAATCCCTACCCGTGGAGAGGATTTGGCCTGCAGCCCCAGTAAGGGAGTAAACCCTTAAAGAAAAAAATCAACAACGGCCCTTTTAAGGGCCACTTCAATGATTCGAATAGATACCTTTTTGATACACAGTTGGTTATAATAGAAACGTCTCATAAAAAACACCCAGAGGTCACTGTTGTTTTAAAAAATAAAATTAAATTTTTTTTTTATGAACATTAATTTTTTAAAAAAGAAATAAGAAATATATTTTTTTTAAATTTTTTTTTTATTTTACACATCAACATTTTATTAACACACAAAGATTATTTTTTAAATTTTTTTATAATACACAGTGGAATATATTTTTTTTAATGTCACTTTTTTAAAGCTGAACAAAAATAACATTTCTCTTTTTCTTTTCTATGAAATTTCTCCAGGCACAATTTTGCTGTTTCCCATTTCTCCAGTAATTCTTTGTTTCTCTCCTCAGGTTTCAGAATTCCATATTCTTGATAGTTGTCACCTTGCCTATAAAACATTCTTTCTAATTCTGGTGTACTGTGGGACATATCAAATCTTGCTGTAAGATTAAGTTTATGCACATCCAGTCCTCCTACAGGTTCTTTCATTTGAATGAATCCCCTGATTTGATGCACTTTTCCTGTCCAGGGATGAATTTCCTTTTTTAGGATCAGGTACTGAATTTCATCTTCAAGGTTCAGAAAAATGTCTATATCTTCTATTTCTTCGTTCACTTGATTTAAAACAAATGTCCAGTTAATGGCTACTCTGTAACTTCTGTATGGGTCCTTTGGGTCATGGATCTTCTCATTTGCTGGCAAGTAAACATTACAGGGTTCTTCCTCCTCCATAGTTTTTAATTCTAATCTTCTTTGAGGACTGGAATCATTTACCTCCATAGGCATGATCATTCTTTTTTCTAATAATGGTATTTTCTCTTCCTCCATATCTTTTGACTTTTTACTCAAACTCATCCTCATCAAACTGATTTTCATACACCTTATCCCTTTGTATTTATACCTTTTTTTGTAAGTTTATTTTTAACTCTTTGTGTTAGTTTATTTTTAACTCTTTTGTTACTATTTTTATATATAGGAGCATCAGTTCAGATTCTTTTAAAAAAAACACCTAGGCAGCATTTTTTTTCTTTTTTATTTTAAGAACAAACAAACAAACAACAAACAACAATAATAATAATAACAATATCAATATTTTTTTACAATACATTTTGATAGAAACATTGACAAGTTTGTCCATGACCTGTTGGTCTTTTATGATAAGTGTCTTTAAACCATTGAGCTACATAATGATCTCTTTGTAAAGCTGTAAAAGGATGGTCAAAGGGAAATAACCATTCATCTGCTTTAATTTTCTTCATATGTCTTTGATGTAAATAATACACACAATATTGTCCACACACATCAGTATTCCAATCTTGATATCGATACGGATTATAAATCCATTGATGACCATGACGCTGGATAAAATCTTGAATTTCTTTTTGTAAGGGAGGAAATCCATAAGAATCAAAATATTCTACCACTGGACTGCTTACATATAAACATACCCAATGTTCTCCAGGTTGATCTTGAGGATCTGTATTGACTACAATGGCTTTTTCTCCAAATTTTAATTGATCTGGTAATAAATCTAAAGGATACACTCCACCAAACGAACTCTTTAATTCTCTAGATAACACTTCTCTCAACTGTCCTGTATCCATTAATAATCAATGCTCACTTCTCTCTGTTTGTTGATTTCTAAGAGGTTATCAAATTCTGCATACACCACACAATTTAAAGTGGTAGCCGTATTGTTCGTAAATTGGACTTCTACTCTAAAATTTCCTGTTTCTATGAGATGAAATTTATCCGATTGGGCTTCTTGATCTTTAGTGAAATCCCAGCCCCATAAAGTGTATCCGTTTTTATACTCTTCTAAGGTAATGTCCGGAGCCCAATCTTCTCCTAATTTTCCCAAAGCTTGATATATACTCAGATAAGATCTCAGATATAAATCTTCGTTAAAATTAGGTTCGAAACAACGAGTCATCATGGTCTCTCCATTGATACTAACATCTAATTTTTTAATCCCAAAATTTTGAAAATTAAAGGGATTTTTTAGTTTTATCTCCATTAAAAGCCGCATTCTCCACAAACCCTAAAATGAGCCTTTTTGGCATCTGGCCTTGAAACAGATGATCCGTAATCTTAGATTGAGTTCCTGTAGGTATGGTAAAACTTTTGACTTCTACTCTTCTTAATGGATATTTGGCTCTGTAAGTATTCAAAGTTTGATTGATCTGATTCATTAAAGTAGAGGAAGGTTTCACTTTTCTCACCCACAAGACCATACTTAATATTTTGACTTTTCCCGTATTGGCTTGAGCCGTCATCATGTAGAAATCAGGTCTAGCTCGATTAAATCTCAAACGGACGTCCACTCCATTCGGTAGAAATCGATCTTGTTGAAACAAATCCAGATGTAAACGATCCAACAAAGTAATTTTCTTACTAGCATCTATGGCTTCATGACGTTTTCTGTATCCTTCGTTTTTAGAATTGGCTGGGTACGCTGGGATGATGGGTTTGTTAATGGTACAAGCATCAGCAGCTACAGCAAAGGTCTGATTAGCAGCCACTCCCAGAGCTGCTAGCCCTCTTTCGTCCATATGTCCTGCCGTATCTTTTTCCCATAGACTACAGGCTTTCATTTGTGTGGCTAAAGTTCTGGGTTTATAAGACAGTAATTTCTCCAGATAAGCTTTGTAAGGATAAGTATCGGTCCCTGGAGTGATTATTTTTCCATTGACATTAACATCAATTTCCGTAAACAAGGAATGTAAGATATTATTCACTGGGGCTGTTTTAGCAGGATCTCCACCCAGATCACTTCCATCATTTTGGACAAATTGACATACCATTTGAAGATAAGTTTGAGATAAATCTAGATATTGATCTCCTTGTCCTTTAATTTCAAATTCGATCGGAGCTGTCTCTGAATCTAAAGTACTAGAAATAGGGTAATATTCTTCCCATTTGGAGTCTTCTAAAGCAATATTAGTGGGAGGGACTTGGAACAATTGTAAATTGTCCATCCCACAAGCACAGGAATCGGGTTGTAACATGATGTCTGTCTACTAAGATTGATTTTTCACAAATGAAACTCTTCTCCCTCACACTCCTCTATTTATAGTCTCTCACACTACTGTAATGATTTTCCCCTTAGATTCCAAAAAATCCCCTGACGTTCCCCTGTCTGTCCCTGACATTTTCCTGTCTCCCCCTGACTTTCTCCTATGATCCCCTGTCATTGTCCCTGACTACCCTGTCTACTCCCTGACGTCCCCTGACTTTGCCCCTGTTACCACTGTCTAACCCCTGATGTCCCCTGACATTCCCTGACGTCCCTGTCAACTCCCTGATGTCCCCTGACTTAGCCCCTGACCACCCTGCCAGCCCCCTGTCGTCCCCTGACATTCATTTTGACCAGGAAAAAGGGTCAAAATATGTTTTTGTTGCTATTTACTTGTGAGAAAATTGATACCTTACTCCTAGCAATTTTCAAGTTTTGTGGAATTTTTTTGTAGATTTAATCATTAGTTTTTCTGTTTGAAATATCTTTAGCGAATTCTATCAAAATATTTTTTTATTGATTGTTACTAGCTTTTCAGATAAATCTTAATAAGGATTAATGCCGATACTTTTAAAAAAAAATAAACTACTAATTTATTGCGTCTTGTGTAGCACGAATGGCATGTAAATATATTTTTATTTATTTATTTATCTGTTTTTTATTTATTTATTTGTTTATTGATTTTATTAATTCAGGTATCTGTTTATTTATTTATTAATTTGTCTGCTTATTTATCTATTCTTTTTTCTTCCATTTATGTATTTATTTTTATTTAATCTATCTATTTAATTTATTTTTACTTATTTGTTTTATTTAATTACCAATTAACAAATGGATTTATTTAAAAAATTTATTTATTTATTTTATTTTATTCAATTCAATTATTTTAATTTATTGATTAATTAAATTTAATTCATTTTGTGTAGTTCTTCATATACAGTGTCCTGGGAAAACAAATTTGCTTCAAACTATTTTTTAAGCATATTTAAATTTTTTTTAATTCTTTTAATTTCATGATGGGTATCAAAATCATCTTCTCATTACACACAATCTGAATCTGGAATTTGTTTTATTGTTCCCTTTTACTTTGGTAAAATAAAAATTTCCTCTAGAACTTGTCACGCTTGTGAAAGAAATAACACCTGCAGAGTATATACGGTCGTGCTGCCACAGAATAAACAGTGTATAGTGGTCAGTCAGAAGAACAATAGGTGTTTGGTCTGTGTGCCCCGAGTCACTGGTCAACTATCAACAATTCAGAATTACTTTCACAACCGTACAGTTTTTGAGGAACATTTCTATTTTTTGTAACAAAGTAAAAGAAGCAATAAAACAAATTCTGAATTCAGATTGTGTGTAATAAGACGATTATTTTGATACCCATCATGAAATTAAAACAATTAAAAGAAATGTAAATATGCCTAAAAATAGTTTGAAGCATCGTTTGTTTTTCCATAACACTGTTTATGGGGAACTACACAAATAAATAGGAATTGAAAACAATTAATTAATTAAAATAAAATGAATAGCAAAATAAATAAAGAAATAATATTAATTAATTAATAATTGAATAAAACAAATATTTAAAAGAAATGAAATGAATAGATTAAATAAATAAACAAACAGATAGATAAATAATAAATAAATAGAAAAATATACAAATAAATAAGTAAAAAAAAAAATAAATAAAAATATTGATTTTGTAACTAATTATTTGTTTGAAGTATCTTTAGTAAATTTATTAATTTAATTGAATTTAATTTATTGATGTATGTTTCTTATTTATTTCTTTGTCTGTTTATTTATCTATTTATTTTTTTCATTCATTTATTTATTTTATCTATAAAATTTATATTTACGTACTTGTTTTATTTAATTTTTAATAAATAAATAAATAAATTAATTTTTTTATTTTATTTATATCCTTTATTTTAATTTATTGATTATTTAAATTTAATTCAATTTGTGTAGTTATTCATAAACAGTCTCCGGGTAAAACAAATTTGCTTCAAACTATTTTTTAAGCATATTCAAATTATTTTTAATTCTTTTAATTTCATGATGGGTATCAAAATCATCGTCTCATTATGCACAATCAGAATCTGGAATTTGTTTTATTGTTCCCTTTAATTTTGGTAAAATAAAAATTTCCTCTAAAACTTGTCACGCTTGTGAAAGAAATAACACCTGCAGAGTGGATACGGTCGTGCTGCCACAGAATAAACAGTGTATAGTGGTCAGTCAAAAGAACAATAGGTGTTTGGTCTGTGTACCCAGAGTCGCTGGTCAACTAACAGCTCGGAACTACTCTCACAACAGTGACAGTTTCTGAAGAACATTTTTTATTTATTTTTTTTAAAAAGTAAAAGAAGCAATAAAACAAATTCTGAATTCAGATTGTGTATAATAAGACGATTATTTTGATACCCATCATGAAATTAAAAGAATTAAAATAAATGTAAATATGCTTAAAAGATACTTTGAAGCATATTTTGTTTTAACTTACGACTGTTTATGCGAAACTCGCAAATAAATTGAATAAAATAGAATTAATAAATTAATAAAAATAAAATGAATTAAAAACTAAATAGATATATAATATTAATCAATTAATTAACAATTCAATAAGGTAAATATATCTAAAAAGAAATATATGAATAGATTTAATTAATGAATTAGTCAATAAATAAATAAAATAAATAAATAAATACATGTGGATATATAGATTAACATATAAATAAATGTTGATATATTTACTTGCCATTCATGAGAAGACGCAATAAATTTGTAATTAATTCTTTTCAAAGTAACTGGCATTTATTCTCCATAAAATTTATCTAAAAGCTACACGTACTAAACTAAAACAATCAAATACAATCATACTAAGAAATAAATTACTCAAGCTATTCAAACAAATAACAATTGACTAAGTATATATATTTTCACAAAACTTAAGAATTGTCAAGAGTAATGTATTTCTCACAAGTAAATATCAACAAAACATATTTTAACCCCTTTTCTGGGTCAAAATGAATGTCAGGGGACGACAGGGAATTGACAGGGTGGTCAGAGGCTTAGTCAGGGGACATCAGGGGTTAGACAGTGGTAACAGGGGCAAAGTCAGGGGACGTCAGGGAGTAGACAGGGTAGTCAGGGACAACGACAGGGGATCATAGGAGAAAGTCAGGGGGAGACAGGAAAATGTCAGGGACAGACAGGGGAACGTCAGGGGATTTTTTGGAATCTAAGGGGAAAATCATTACAGTAGTGTCAGTCAAAGACATCTAAAGGCCGTGTTTTCTTCTTCACTGGGGCTGTTAATGGTACATTACCTCCTTGATTTTTTCTTTTTCTTTTAGGACCTCCTCTAGCCAACAGAACTTTTTCTGTCTGTTTTCTTTTTCTTTTCTTACTATCTCCTAGATTCATTTTTTGTTTTACCATTCCCGACGTATTTTTCAGGGCTTGTATTCCGTGAGTTTTGATAGCTTCTTTTAAAGATCTCTTATTTTCTAACACATCTAACCCCGTTCTAGCAGCAGCGGTCAAGGCATGTTTAGCTCCCGTTTTCAGTAAATCCGTAAAAAGTCCTTCCCCTCTTTGATGGTTTTTGGGGGGTGGATAATAATAAGCTGGTGGTGGGGGTGGTTGCTGTTGACCCCCTCCTAATATCCCACCTAATAGATTACTGACTAGTGGAGCTGCTAATTTTAACACCGGAGCTAAAAGACCAAACCCGTGTCCTTTTTGTCTTAATAAACCTTTATGATAAGTCCAACCGTGTCCTCTCTGTCTTAATATTCCTGGATGATACTGCATGGTGATCACTGTTCTTAAAAACTGACTTTTCTGCACTCTGAGGACTTCCTTTTATACCCCTTCTTTTTAGGGCTGAATACAATATAGACAGCATACCAGACAAATCATGACTCCCAATAGGATGTAACAAAAAAGCTGTACACTCATCTCAGTACACTTTTCTAAAATGAAGTTTTACTAGAGTTTTTCCACTTAAAAAGGGCATGGGTTTTCCTAAAGGTGTCATGATGTGTATCTCAATGGTATCAAAATGTTTTTTACTCAAAGGGAGATATTCCGCACGGATGGGTTCCCATTTACATTGATTGTCTTTGTGTTCAAATTGACAAGGGACCACTCTTAATAATTTCAAGGCATTCGATCCTACGGTCTGGGGTTGAATCAGATCACAATACACATACATGGATTTTAAATTTCGATATAAATCTACAGTGTCTGGAGCCAGATAACTGATATTAATCCATTTGGTCATGTCTTCTGTCCAATTTTCCGGGACTAATTTAGAATCATGAAATCCTAATTTATAAGCCAGACTTAAGGGAAGACGCACAAAGATGGGAATTTGACGTAAATGAGTGACATAATTCACTCGATTGAAATCCTTCCGATAATTAAATTTCATTTCAATTTTTGAGGGTTTTTCTTCTTCTTCTTTCAGGTCTTGTATCACTGTCTTTAAGCTCTGTTTTAAATTTCCATACACATCATCATCGTCATCACTTCCTTGATCTGTGGGTTTTTTTTTCTCGGTCCATTTGTGATACTTTTTCCAGATTTTTTTCATGGTCTGTACTAAACCTTCATTGATTTCTGCCAGGATAGCTGTAGGGTTAGGATAAGGTCCCGGTCTAAATCGAAGTCGATACAAATTCAATTTCTCTTTAGGATCATAAGTACCGATTAACCAATAAGCTTTACTCCAATCTACTAAAAGCTGGGTTTGTTGAAAATTAATGGGAGTACTTTTCAATAATTGAAACCGTCCCCACTGGTACTTATCGGGGTCCTCGAGATCCAGTTTCTCAGATGGTGAAACGCCTTTAAAAAAAGGTGGAACTTTTTCCACTATACACACTTCGATATAAGATTCATCCTGACTTATATTTTCTATACTACAAGGATAAATCATTTCGGTTAATGCTACTTCCCATTGACCATCCGTTAAATCCACAG